TAAACAAAGCAACTGGTGAACGACCACAAATTATAAACACCAAATAAAATGTCTGTTACTGGATATAACCAGGGTAATTCACCTTCCATTCCAACACATTTATCAAAAATCCGTCTCAATGTTATTTCCAGTCACTTTGGTTTACATGTGGCAAAGTATTTCCCCATCAAAACGTACGTCACTTAGCTACTTAGCTGTATAACTACTAGCAATTTTAAGTATAAGTCATTTACCTACATATTCAGTCATTAATTATTCAGTTATACAATGAGCTAGTTGGTTGTTTTATTGTTTCCTTGGAATGCTTTTAAGTCGACATTTGAAGGAAAGAAAGGCAGTGTGTGGATAGTTACTTTCAAAGCGGAGTTAGCGTACCACAAGGACGTGAAGGTATGGCTGATGCAATATCAACAATACCGTGAGGAGAGGTGTTGGTATGTAAAATGTTTCTATGCCAACACAGGGCTACTCAAGCTATAAGCGTCGGGTCACGTGTTCAAATTTTTAACACTCAACATACGGTTAGACTGTGAGCTGTGGACAGTGTTGACCATGTCCTTTGGGGTCATTTCTAAGTGCGAAAGATGTACACAGTATCAATTTACTTCTCTTGAGAAAGCAGCATCTATTTATAGGGATTAAGCGTTAAAATGTGATTACAGACTAAGCTAACCCATAACGACAGTGGAAAAGTGCTCTAGAAAGATTACACATTCTTTATATTTAAAAACATTTTATCGTCATTGTTCTTCATGTCCAATTATTTATGATACAAAACCATTATTTAAATTACCAACAGACAGTAGAGGTGTTCTGTGTAGTTATGAGTTCAATTTCAATTAAATATACACCACATCAAAAATGTTACAACTACATGTTACAGAGATTAATAAAATACATATAGACAGTTTGCCGTTTTAATTGTCGTTTATAAGATGCTGCTATATTTAAAGTCTGTGTGATGTCTTAGGTGTTTAATTACAAATGTATTACGTGATATACAGTGAGGACATTTGGTCGCTGTGCCGCTAGAATTAGTGAACACGGCAATCGACCCATGATGAAAAAGCAGTGTCGCGTGCTGCCAGCACAGTCGCCAGAAATTCACTGTAGAAAATTGTTTAAATTTATTCCATTTGAGTAGTCTTCTTTGTTTTCCCAAAACTAGCCTTGTACATGTATGCGCATCTAAGGGCCTATTTATATTTTATTGGTATCATTATATTAACTCTTTTTCCTTGTATTTGCATTTGAACGTTTCAGCTACACATAATCTTCAATATATATTCATAGATCCGTTAGTGAATATAGGGACCTATATTTGATTTTTTTACAGACTGCGTGGTAGCAATGAACATGTAAATATGATTTTATTATTTTCTACCTTTTTAGTATCAACACATTTAACCCTTTTACGCAGAGCATTTGCATTTGACTGTTTTATATGCGTGTAATCTTCAATATATATTAAGATTTGTCACTGAATGTAGAAACCTGCCTGTAACCTTTCACCCACACTTGATTATTTCATAAGCTGCTAAGTGATAACTATTAAAAGCCTATAACTTTATTCATACATGTATCTGACCCTATCTACATCGTCCAACTTAAGGTAAGACTTGCACACTTCATACTTCGTTTAAACTTATATACTGTAAGTACAAACAAGTGGGAAAATCCAACGCGGTTAGCCAAACTCAAATATTCAACTTACTGTCAAGTACATGGAATAGGAAGTTATATCAATAGTTAACGCAAGCGAAGTGGTATCGTTGTCAAGTGATGGAGCAACAGAACCTGAATGTAAATATCTGACGTCTTAAATTTACTCTGTTCAAGAGGCTTAACTGACTGAATAACGCATGGAATATCAAATTTAAACAACTATAAAACTTTTGTAGTAAATCATGTCCATATATTAATACTGTGGCCGTATAGGACATGTCGCCAAAGCTGTAAGTCTGTCTTCAAATCGCAGTCAAAAGAGTCCATGTAATAAGTGACTTTCTGCTAATAATTTATAAATTACAGAGTAAATTTATGGGGCACAAAATTAATATGTGATTTTACAGGCTAAATTATCGGAATACATGAAGCCATTCCACCCTCATCCTTCCCATCTCTTACGTAAAAAGAAAAAGTTTGCAATATATAAAAAAATAATTCTGCGTACATTAGTTTTGTACGGGTGTAAAACGTGGTCTCTTATATTAAGGGAAGAACACAACCTAAGAATGTTTGAGAACAGGATGTTGAAAAGAATACCTGAACGTAAGAGAGAATAAGTTGAATATGCGTGAAACGAAAATTGTGACAATGCAGTAAGCAGTTAACTTCAGATTTAAAACAATTTTGATTACTTTATTCACCTATGAACACTAACCCTTCCCACCTACCCCATTCGTGAAAGTTTCAGGGACATGCAAGTTTGAGCATTAAGAAAGAACACTTCACATTATGAAAATTAATAATTTAAATGACATAAAGTGGCTGTCTTCGAGATATAGCACTGTCTAATCTGATAGATAATGACCGAAATTTCAGAGGAGCTTAACGCCTCCATCATCATGGTGATAAATCACTACTCGAATGATGAATCACCCTGATAATGGAGGCAGTACGTTCACACACATACAAGAGAAGAAAAGACGAAAAATTAAGGCTCCTTTTATAGTTACGAATTTAAATTTTTATACACAATGCACAATTGAGAGAGCCGCTACGTAGGCCATTTCGAGACTATTTATGAAGCAAATGGTATAATTTTAACTAATGTTGAAGTCACATGTGGTACAATAAATGAGTTTCATTGTTGTCTTGACAACTGGGTAACCTTGCAACATGTAGCCCTTGCCGATATGAATCCAAATTATGTGGAGTGTTTAAATCGGATGGAAACAGCTGTAGAGGTTACAGACTAGGGCGTTGTCAATTTGCAGGCTGGGCGTAGTCAGACAACGAGCTTGTATGATGACAAAGCATAAAGTAGTGCTCCTGTGAGGTCAGAGGGAAGTAAAACCATGGGTAATTTGAAAGCAGGCATCTGAAGTTCTGGCAAAGTCAGACATCATCAGTGATCCGGATTATATACAATACATAATGTCCATGAAGTTACTGTCCTTTAACCAGAAGAATAAACACTCCACAAGCATTGGAAAACGTGTTCCGCAATACAGCTGAAAGACTTTGCTGTCCAGATACACAGACAGTGCCCATGTAACTTCCTGACCAGTTGAACGACTATTAGGTTTTCAAGAAGCGTAAAGTATAACGGACTATACGATTCCAACAGCCTCCAAACTGCTACGAATGAGTCCGTAAGCATGTCACAGTATACGTCACTGGAAACCCTGCAACAGTTTTTGAGGGCGAAAGATAGAAATTCCTAGTATAATATACGAAGAAACATAAGCCATCAAAACGCATATAACTTTATTTATACATATCGATAATACTTTAGCAGAGATTTAAAACATTTTTTTTATTAACTACGGTACCACATTCTGAAAACTTTGTGTACTGCTTAGAAGTCGTATTTAATATAGTTCCTTACAGAGAACAGTAAAATTTAATATTAAGATTTATCAGACGTTGTGACAGTGTCTGATAGTCATATCCTTATTGGAAGCCAAGAAGATTGACTACATAATCTTACATTACTCACATAAATATATTCATTATGAAGGAAGGCAAGCACCGATTTTGAAAGAGTTTCTGAAGTAACTTGAAAGTCTCTTCGACGATTATTTTAAATGCGCTCAAGCTTAAATCACTGCTACAAAGGAGTAAAAATAAACGACGAAAATACTGAAAAATAAAAAAATTAAACATTTTGTATTCAACGAGAGTCTCGAAGTTTCTCGGTCTCTTTCGATTACCACAGGCCTATTACCTATTGCCACACCTTCCTGGAGTGTAAGCAGGTTCTTTTCCGCTTATTATTAAGTCGTTTCATTATGTAAGACTTTCTTTTAACCACAATATTACAGCCACAAGTTTGTAGGTAACATACAAAAGATTATTACTTTCTGAAACCGTAGGATGAAAAGTTTCACAAAGCCAATCAGAAATCTTTTGTATTATACGTTTACTTTAAACTAGCAGCTTGTTATGACGTATTATATTACAATATTTTCGGGCGGATTTATAAATTTATGATGTTCATTGCAATTTTTTTATTCATCTTTTGTTGACACACCTAAAGAATGCGAAAGCTTGTAGAAGCCAAGAGTCGCTTTTCGTGTATTTTTTACTACATTAAGTTACATGGCAGTCCCACAATGTCTTCATAAAATACTGAAGAGATTTCCAGCTGGTCAAAAATTCGCCTTTCTTTCGTGAACCCCATCTCCAGATAGTTGAATAAATTCCACACATACTGCTCTAAAATTCATTTTAATATTAGAGTTCCAAGTCAGCTTATGTCTTGAAAGAGGACTCTTCTCCGTGGAGTGAGTTTATTTAGAACTTTTTTCCCGAATAACAGAAGCTGTCTAAAGCAATTTAAATATGAAGTGCTTCCAATTATTTCTGCAGTAGGAACTTAGGTCTTACCGACTTGAAACATGTACTGTTCAAACGCAAATTTTATACATAACTAAAAAAAATATTTTCAGTGCAGACATATTAATTTATTCAACTAACTAGGTTTTATCAGCTAGCTAATACATTACAGGCAAGATGTTTTGTGTTATAAGCAATCAAACAAAATCTATGTAAGACTTGAGGTTCTCACAGCGGTGAGTATGAAGATTTCCGTCTTCTGGGTTGTTGCGCTGTGTAGTCTGGTCGATGTTTGCCAACGTTTCAGAGGTCATACTGCCTCCATCATCAGGGCCCTGGTGACAGAGGCAGTATGACCTCTGAAACGTTGGCAAACATCGACCAGACTACACAGCGCAACAACCCAGAAGACGGAAATCTTCAAACAAAATCTAACATCACATGTGCGTGTTGTTACGGAAACAAATTTATCCAACAATTTTACCCCTATTTTTCAGAACTACAAGAAGGAGGAGGCCGGTAAAGTAGTAGTCTACACGACTACAATGGGGGTTGTGCGAGAAACATTCCAGGACTGCGTGCTTGTCAAGAAGATTCTCCGTAACTTGATGGTGAAGTATGAGGAACGTGACGTCTTCATGAGCAGAGAAACACAGACAGAGATTCGTGAACGCATGGGCAGTGACGCCATTATTGTGCCCCAGATCTTTCTAGAGGGTCAGCACATTGGGGTAAGTTTAAGTAACATACAACACGTTACACAAATGTTAGATCAAGCCCACAGTACCCTGTGTCGTGCACACATTGGGACACTTCTGATATTAATTGGCATGTCTATTCGTCGATGTGGTCCAGCGGTGGATCTTTTGGGGTTTCGACAAATCCGGGGAATTTCTTGACTGGCTGAGACACTAATTAACTCATGAACGAAGACTTATTCCATAGATTCAGTCAAATAATCATCACCAAAAAGTATGGAGCTTGAAAGATCTTTCAGTATGACACAATGTGAAGACTTCATTACAGTGAACTTTTCTTGTGCGAAAATTATGCTTATCACCTGAAACCTCTGATTATGAAACCAATGTGCTCAGCCTGTAACTTGTAGACTGGGGAGCAGTATGAAACACAGAAGGAAGTTAATAATGTGATCTCTGAAATGCTGTTATGCGCCTTTAATTATCTGCACGGTGCTTTTCTTTATCCGCTAAAGAAACTAGAAAGTTTCGCAACGTGAGAATGAGTCAGGTTCTAATTGTGTGCTTCTGTGAAAGAGCTGTAGGGATATGTCATTACACGTTATATCATAATTGCAATATGCACATTACGAACACTAATTACTGTGTAGGATTGCAGCACAAATTATTTGTTGTCTTTGCTTTGGTTGCATTATCAAAACTCACAGATTAAATTATGGTTGAAAACTGATGTACAGACTTTGTATGAAAAGTTACCACCTGGTAAATTCATAACCTGTGTCCCCAGTGGACTGTAATAGTACTGGCTTATTTTTAATAACTACAGTACCCATTCTCCAGGGGATCTATATTTCAATTAACTGTATTGGAATTGTTTGCCTCTTACATAATACATAGGCCCCTTATAAATCAATTTTAATGCTTATAACTACGTGTGTAATGAAATTAATTTTATACAACAGGCTTCAATAAAGTTAATAAAGACTTTACTTCCTTAACTGACTTATACAATTTCGGTTATTACAAGAAACAATTGAGTTATCTTCCTCTGTTAAATTGAAGTTTTAAGAAACAAGTTAGGAAGTGTTCCAATCTCTTCTTTGACCTCTGATCTTTATAAATGACCAGGGAATTCCCCGAGTGGGGATTCCCATTCAGATACTTAAGCTTGCAAAAACGTCTGCAATTATTTTCTGTGCGATATTAATCAAAACTGTAAAATTCGTGAAAACACACGTTTTCTGTTATTTATCACAGAGGCGCTGCATACTGGCAGGTCTTCTAAATACTAAATAGCCCTACATCGTTTTATGAAAAAAACCTCAAAAATTACATTACGCATAAAGACAGTTTATAAAATCTGCTCAATCATGAAATTCCCCGTCGTCTATGAAACCGAAAGGTTGATCACCGTGTTTGCAACATCCCTCCATCGGTCCGTATTTTGAACCAGATTAATGCAGTCCACACTTTCCAATCAGATTTACCTACCTCTAATCCATTTTCGTATTACGTAAATGAAACGCGGAAAATAAATGATGTACATGTTGACATATGGACGTATATTCCACTGCTACCGAAGGAATCGATATGGGCCTTTTAACGCTTGTCTCTCTTTTCAATACCAAAGCCAGATTGTCGATACCAAAACTTGCCAAAGCGTTTCCCCAGAAATGTGTTTGCACAACTGTACCCACCTGCTGTGAGGTGTACGAAATGTAAACGCATATTTCACTAAATAAACAAGTTGGTACGTTCGAACCGTACAGGATGAGTTCAGTTCAATCTTTCTGATCAATATTGAAGTTCATTGTCCTTCTGAAGGATCACACAAAGTACAGGCCCATCTGTGTTCACTTTTAAAAGCGAGTAATTAAATTAAGGATAATTTAATTCCTGTGAAAGCTTCGGTGTCGTTTATTTCAGTGTTTGTATTACAATTTCTTACCTAAATTGCTGTAGATTAAAATACACAGAGTGAAACTATTTTCGCACACGACTACTCTATAGTGTGATTCCTTGTTAAACAGTAAGTCGCAAATCTTATACAACATACGTCGAAATACATTTATTCATAATGTAATTTTCGTTAGCCTCCTTTTAATGTACGTGTGGAATATACTGTGGGCAAAGAAACGAATTAAGCAAATAACAGGCTGAATGGATACGTTTTCTTCTCGCTATACAGAATGTAATAATCAAAAAGAGTAGCTGTAACGTTACATACCAGCTTAATTGCTAATACCGTAATGGAGTTGACCTTGAGTACAAGAACTATAATTTTCAGTTAAAGGAAATGTTAATTCCATTATAATATACAATTACATTAATTTTATAACTTTTCTTCATATAAGAGCAGATATTACTAGACCAACTCATGATCCTACTGATAACTTTCATTACTTTCCTTGGCCCACTAGATTCGCGCTCTTTGAATAGCCTATTCAGGGGCTGTTTCTCAATCTCATGTCGTTATCGATAACGTAAGTAAATTTCGTACAATTTATGGCGGTGTACAAATGGGACACGCCACTGTACTGCTACATTAACTAAACTGCATTAGCAAAGGAAAGAACAGCGAAATAGGCCTATAGTACGTCTAATACACTGACGTGAACGATTCTGTATCAGTGGAACCAAAATTTTAAATACATTTCGGATGGTTTGTTGTTTTATTTCTGTGGACGGACTGAGCTGTTAACACTTTGACAACATAGATAAAAGAGCAACTTCATTCTAATTAGACGACATTCGAATCGGTAACCCCCACACTGATGAAGTCACATAATGTCATTACATACAGGTACATATAATTTGTATCTTAAGTACGTCATGTTTGTGTTGAATCAAATACATATATTTATTTTACAGTCTATACACAAACTTATTTATCACAGTTACAGTTTATCGTCTCCTGCTATCAGACGTAGGATACGTCACAAATACAACTTGATAATGAACGTCTGATATACAGACACCAGATCATTATGAAGACGGAAAATTCTACAAACATACTAAAAGATCAATAAATGCAATGCATCAAAATATATAATAGTTTTTAAAATAATATAGATTGATAAACCTGAAGATGATGTCATAAAACATCGAAACATGTCGTCCAAAAACAAAAATAAAAGCGCTGAATAATGTAATGTCGTACTACGATAAAGGAGCGCCATAAATATAACATAATATACTTTATACTGTAAATGTTATAATATTTTAACAACATTATTTTAAATAAGTTTGTGTATAGACTGTAAAATAAAATTTATGTATAGGTACATATAAGTTATTTTACTTGGAAGTTTTTGTATTAAGATTTTTTTGCTGTTAAAAAGAATGACGAGAGTGAATCAGTAGTTTATCGTGCAGGTCTAAATTTCACCATTAATTAGTTTCGTGTCTCATAAATGTAGCCAATTATATTTGTTTTTACGATGTTCTTCCCGCAAAGTAAAGAGCCCTTCACAACCCTGTAAAACAGCGTCCTAACAAAAAACCGAAGCAGGAGGATTCCAAATAAGTGATGCTGGTAGCCATACTCTGACGATGCGCAGCTGTGACCAATGGGATGAAACATCATTGTATGAACGGTGGCACAGTATGGTCAGTCCGTGTAGATTTTCCGTGCCATCATACTGAGCTTGTCCATGTCTAATTGTGTCTACGTGACGTTCAAACGAAAATAAAAAAATTTGCCTTTATATTCTTTATTCTCCCACACTTTAGGTGACGTGATTTCATATTATCTATGAGTTATTTGGAGGGATATTATTTCTATGTTGCACCCCATCACTAAACAACGTGATAGGAAAAACTAAAAATTGGCCATTCACTTCGTGCATTGCAAATCCTCAAAGAACATGAACACCTTCTGCACAGTTAGCGACAAAATGGGCAGTTCTGTAAGCTTAGGTCACGTTATGTTTCTTGTTTATGGCTAACAACAGGTGAAGTAATAAAGTTCGAGTACAGTAATGCGGTTTCACTTAAGTATTTCAGTGCTATTACTACAGTTGAAGGGTGGCTTTCTGTGACAAACGGTGTTCACAATAACACATCTCATACTGCCCTAAACAGTCGGCTCACTGTTAACCATGATTTCCACATGTCGCAACCAACACTTACGCGTGTTTATACGCCCTTCACTGACATCATAAACACAAAAATTCAACTGAATTCCATCCCAAGGGTTTGTAATACTTGTTCAGACATCTGTATGAGAACTGAAGCTGCGAAGATTCGAAGTTGGTCTTCTGGGTAGTAATGCCGTGCGGGCTTGTACGCAGACATCAACTTTACGGAAGGACATACTGTCATCTTCGGAGCTGTTGTTTCTTGCTGGTATACAGAGCTTGTAACCGAATCTCTGCGTGACTTATTTCTTTACATTCCAATTCAAATCTTCTTCCTAACATTCTCCATGCTACTTAAACTCACAATTGTTTAGCACTGCCGTTTTAAAAGAAAATCTAGGTTGGTTTCTATCGTAAGAGTAAACGACAGCATTCCACAATTTAAAACAAACATATAAAAATTTCTCTTAAAATCAAGTAAAGAATTAAGATATAAAATTAAATTTGGGGCGCCCCACCACAGTATGTGCTCATAACTTGTCTGGAATTTTCTCCCTCACATTAAAATACAGGGCTGAAGGCAAACGTACATTTAACTTGATGCCACTGAAAAATAATTTACATAACCCAACGAGTGAGGTTCGTAATGGTTATCAATTGTGGTCTTCTGTTTTGTAACGACCTGCGGTCTTGTAAATGAATACCAACGTTTCGGAGCAACGCATCGCCTCCATATTTAATGATGGTAACCACATACAAGACCACACGGCGTCACAACCCCGAAGACCACAATCGATATCTTCGTGGTCGTGAGAACCTCAAACCCGAGATTCATAGTCGAGATTCTGCTGTTGCCGCTCTGTTCAGTGGAACGGTGCAAAACATACGGGAGAGAAATTGGTAATTACATCAGAAACAAGAAAGAAATTTGCTCATCGAAGAGTAATGACTGAG